CATTGTGTGGAAAAGTTCTCAGGTACTGTGGGAAGAATGGCAGTGATCGTGGTCAGTGCAAAGATTGGAGTAGAAAGCAGAATATTTGTAAGAGAACAAGACCTGGGTGGAGCTGTCCTGCTCTCATGGGGGAAAAGTGGGAGCCTCTGACTCTTACTGTAATTTGAGTTTTCAGACTGGAATTAATTGGCAACTGAAGGGACACTGGATAGAGATCCACTGGAGACTTGGGACTCTTGCTACAACAGAGCTAGTTATCTGTGCAAAGACATGCAAATAGCTGTTGCCCCCTTTCAGGGGTCACCTGGAGAGGCATGACAGCGGTTCCCCTGTGGCTGCCACTTCTCAGAACACTTCTCTTCTGAGCCCCTTCTACAGTTTTCTCTAGAACCAAGGTCTGATCCATGCTGAAGATTCTGCCTTACTCTTTATCACTCATGCATGTCTTAGAGTTGATAGGAAGTTATGCAGCTTTCCTGTCCATTGTTTTCAACCCAAGATTCCTTTTGGCTCTTAAAAACATGGCGACAAAATGCTGCCCTCAAAAGAAAGAGAAAGGAAATGTTCTCAAGTGTGTATTAAAAGCAAAACAAAAGAGTAGGAGCAAGAAAGCCATACTACTTTAGGGATGGACCAGGATTACCTCATGGAAGTCCCATGATACCACAACAGAAGGGGGCCTTATAGGTTCCAGTTCTCAGAGGAGCAAATGAGGTGAAATGAGGTGCCCAAGACCACATAGCTAGTTATATGAGAAAGTTAGAATGAAAAACCCTGGGGGGTTCCAGTTCATTGTAACACATTTTTTTTCTAAAAAGCAAAAAATGCATCCTGTTAAGTACACACACAGTATTCCCAAGAGTGGTGACAATTTCCAAAATAATATGTTAGGAAGAAGAACAGCTGACATGGACCACATCTGTGGCTGCAGATGACCCTTTGAAGGGACTGTGCATTTTTTCTCTGTGAGTCCAAAAGTTATCATGTTTTTTTATACTTACATGTATTAACTAAAAATTAGCAAAAGTGTGAGAACATACAGTGTTATATATATAAATATAACAGTGAGTTATATTTGATGTTTATGTTGCAGTCTGTGATTTATGTTTTAAAACTTAATGTTAAAGTTTAATATGTGTAACAAATAGGGATGCCTGTGTCTTGTGTTCCTGTTTGCATGATCCATTAAAATGAAATATTTTTACCTACCTAAATATGATGTTTGAAAGGATACTGTTATGTGACTGATACTGTTATTTATTCCTACCTTTCTAAGTATGTTGAACTGAGAAAATGTATTGAAATGTACTGTGGAATGTTATAAGACTTGCTAGGGGGTTTCTGGTCAACATTTGTGAATGTCTTTCAGAAAGGACTTATATTTTATAAAAAGCTTCATTCTCATTCTATTTTGCATCCTGGAATGTTCTTCTTGCTCAGATCGTGGGAGCTTCACAGACTTTGTTCCTGGTTTCAGAAGCTGCAACAGGTCCACTTCCAGCTTATAAATCTCTTGCCAGAAGACTCATGAGAGAGACAGAAGAGATTGCCCCCCAAGGCCCTCTGGAGCAGAGAACACATAAACGGAACACTCCACATAGATAAGAGGCTAAGTGAGGAACAATCCAGACAGCTAGTTGAAAGACATGCTGAGTTGCTTTGATTTTGGGTCAAAGAGACCTGGATTTGAGTCTGACAAGAACAAAAAAGGGTTCAATAAATACATATGGGAAGAATCAAGAGAAACAATTTCCATGCATTATTATTTGCAGTGTCTCTGGTGCTTGCATAGTGTTGGTATACATAGGACATTCATATAAAAACACCTTGAGCACATGCCAGGTACCAGACTTTGTGCTTTACTGTACCTTTTACAATATCCTCCTGAGTAAGGTTTCCTTATTACATGCAAAGGGAAACCTAAGTCCTTTCTACTTCTGTGTGAACATTGAATCAGTTTTTAAACTCATGAAAGGCATTGGACTAGGGCACAGAGGTAACTCAGTCCAAACCTATTAGGAAAGAATCAATGGCTGAAGGATTGCACATGAAACCAGACTTTCTGCCTTAAATATCAAAATAAATACCTCCTAGGAGAAAGTTGTTACAGAGAACAACTTTTGTTGATTGTTACTGACAATCTTGCAAATTCAGAAACTCATTTCTGATTCTTTTCATGGACTTGAGCATGATCAACTTCAAGACAATTCTTTGACCAATTAGTCAAATTTATACTTTACCAAACATTGGCTACTTAAACAATATATATTTTATGTATTAGTCTTTTTTCTTTACTATAACATAATATCTGAGACAGGCTACTTTATAAATGAAATATTTTTATGGTGACTCATAAACCTCTGGAGGTGCAAGATCCAAACAACATGGCATAAATTCTGGTGTAGATCTCCCTTGGCTGCATCACATTATGGTGGGTGAAAAGGAGAAACATAGAGTGAGGAAATTCCCTCTAGGATGCTACCATTGACCTCTGTTATGGTTTTTACTGTCTAGGAATGTCAGTTTAGAAATTAAAAACTTGGGGTAAAGAGTCATCTGGTGTCCACTACTCCAAACAGTTTTGTTGGATGGCTAAGACTGGTGTGGCATATGTAGTTACAAAATGGCTGGAGACAGTTCCCAGAGAAGTGGGAATCACTGTATCTTGGACAGAAACTCCATAATGTGGGTATAATAAGAACTCAAAGCCCAGCAGGGAAACAAACTTAACAAAGAACTAGCTTCAACCCAGGCTTATGTGTGCTCAATTACGCAAAGGCTAGAAGGAAGGTATCAACTACATTTTCTGATAGTGTTATACTCGGGGCAGAGGTCTGGCACAAAGCTCAGGTAATCATGGAGACCCCCTCTTCACCCTGATTCTTGCCATCGTGCCAGAAATACTTCAGACATGTTGCTCAGAGTAACAGACATGAGTTTATTAGAAGGAATATGATAAAGGAAAAAAGGACACTCTCAAGGGACAGAGTAGGTCCTCTTAGGAGAAGGGCAGTATGCTTCTCCTAGCCTCCAGTTTTATTGGGGGTCCCATGGAAATTTCCAGAGATTCCCACCTAGGTTCACCTCTTGATCCCCACCTCCAACACCTCTTTACTTTTGACAGCAGACTGACATGAGATTCTCAAGTCCCTACTGCACAAGACAACTCTAGGTCACTTTGACCCATAATGACTGGTTCTAATTAGACCCTGTTCTTACAGATTTTATTTAGGGTTAGGTGAAGTTTTCCTTATTTGCCTGAGGTCTGGGATCTTGTCTGTGTGGAGGATTACCAAATCCTCTCCCTTCAGGATAACTTGTGTTCTCATTGGAATTTTGGATCTGCATTTCTCCTGCAGGTTACAGTTAGTTTGCTGAGGAATGTAACATATGTTGTCAACTCAGGCTAGTCAGGGCTGCAGGTAAATTTTTTTTTAAGAGAAAGCATGTGGGGGTCAGCACAGTGGGCTCAGTTTTAGAATTATTCCCTTAACTTTACAGTTGACATCTATCTGTTCTCTATCAATAAGAGGTCGCATCCCTACTGACTGTGTGTGTGTGTGTGTGTTTTGCTATGTTGCCCAGGCTGACCTCAAACTCCTGGGCCCAAGTGATCTTCCTGCCTCAGCCTGCGGAGTAGCTAGGATTACAGGCCACAACATCCAGCTCTGTCAAAACAAATGGATTACTGCCCTGGCCTAAAAGCCCTTTAATTGTTAGGCAAGATGCTTAAAATTTCCTGGCCTCTGTTTTTTCACATGTAAAATGAGGATAATAATAAAACATCAACCTTGGAGGACTAGAGCTGTAAAACCCAGAAAACATGATAGATAATAACTTGTAGTCATTGTTCTTATTATTGTGAGACTATAGAAGGCCAGATTGAGAAATGCATAATATTCACAGTCCAATCTTCAACGTCTATCTGGTGCTTCACAGATAGTGTATACTCAAGAAATAATTTAGAATGAATGAATTTAGAATGAATAACCGATTTCCGAAAAAAGTAGGTTGGTTATTGTCAACCTTCCGTGGCCTTTTACTATCCAAATTTTCATCTCCTTTGTCTTCACACCTGCCTCTCAAATGGTCCTTGTACTACTTGTTTGAGGCAGGCCATTGCCGCCTGTCCTAGAAGATGCCAGAGGGGATGATATAATTCCTCTCATCCTATGATATCAAGAGAGGCCACGGATCTTTTTTTTTTTTCTTTTGTAAAAAGCTAACCAGCATATAGACATTCCTATTCCCAAAGCCCAGATAGAGTCCTCAACCAGGGACCTCGCCCACATCCTGACGCCCGCCTTCCCAGCGACTGAAGCTCCTCCCATCCAAGCAGGTGCTAGGGGCGCATTTCACTTAGCTGGTCCAGGGCCCTATGCGCATGCGCATAAATCTCTCACCCGGTGGCTGGGGGCGGGGCCGCGTACGTCATTCGGGCGCGCGCTGAGGGCGACGCTATGGTTGCCGGAAGTTGAGTGGCGGTAAGTAAGCAGCGGCTGCTGAGGGAGGAGTGGGCTCCTGCGGGGTTGGTTTTGGAGTCCTGAAGAGAAGGGGGCGAGCTCGGCGGCGAGGCCGAAGGTCACTTCGCGTTTCAGAATCCTCCAGCGCCCACCTCAGGGCGGTCCTCCCACCTCCGGGGAGTTACTGAGAACGCCTGTCGCCCCTCCTCTCCATCCACGTCCCCTCACACTGGTTCAGTCCGGGGTCTTCTGACTAGAAAACTTCTGCTTATTTCCCAAGTTAGTCCCCCTTCTGTCCTCTGGCAGGGAGTGCTCAGAATCCCATGTTAAAACACAGGAGTTGGGACATCTGGGTTCTCGTCCTGGCTTTGCCCAAATTTGCTCTGTGACTCTGGACATTTCTTCCCTTTCTGCCCTCCTCTGTGAGGTGGGAGCAATAATACATTATTTGTTAAATGAAGTTAAACTAAGTCTCTTAAACACTTTTTTCTCTTTTTTTTTCCTCCTTCCATCCCTTTTTCTTGCGATATAGGGGATGGAACCCAGGGTCTGGCTTGTGCTAGGCAAGTGCTCTACCACTGAGCCACATCCCTGGCCCTCTAAAGGCATTTCTAAACTAAGGTTCGGTTTGGTCCCGAAGTTACAAACTAATGCTTAAGAGAAATCAGTCAGGTAAGGTAAATGCAGTGTAAGAAAATTTCTTTGTCAGAAATAAAGTCATATTTTTACTGAATTGAATTTTTATAAGCACCGTACTTAATGGAGAAATGAAACTAAGGCTAGTGCATATATGTAATCTTATTTTTTAGCACCACTGATATGCTTCTCCATTGTTTCAAAACGTTTTGGCAACTAATTCAGTGTTTTACAAAGCTGTGCCTCTGTGCCCACGTGTATCTGTGACTGCAGTTTGGGGCCTCTGTCTTAGGCTTCCTTTACCATTGGCTACTTGGATATTTTTCCATGACACCTTTGCTCACTGGTCTGTTTCTTCAGTGACAAAAAGCTCAATACTTCTGGTTGCTTCCGTTTGGTCTTTCCTAGTTCTGACTCTTAAATGCTGAGCTAAAAGAAGTTATCTAGTAATCTCATCAGGTTTCTCCTTTAGGTTCTAGAAATCACCCTCACATTTAATAGTTCTATATGTCTTTGAAAGCTAAGAGTTTATCTTCCTGGTCTCTCCTTTCCTAGGCTAGCATATTTAATTTATTTACCCATAGTAAACTCCACAACGACAGAGGATTTTGTTTTATTTGTTGATTGACTGACTAAAACATTCCAGTGCTTGTTCGGTGCCAGACATTACTATATACACTGAAGACAGAAATAGTTCTATTTCAGGGAGCCTGCTTTTTGATAGTGATAGCAGTGCTTGTCAATAAATATATTTTTTAAAAAATATTTTTTTAGTCCTAGATGGACACAATACCTTTATTTTGTTTATGTATTTTTATGTAGTGCTGAGAATCAGACCCAGTGCTCCACAAATGCCAAGCAAGTGCTCTACCACTGAGCCACATCCCCAGCCCTATTTTATGTTTTATTTAGAGACAGGGTCTCACTGAGTTGCTTAGCGCTTTGTTTTTGCTGAGGCTGGCTTTGAACTTTCAGTCCTTCTGTCTTAGCCTCACAAGCTGCTGGGATTACAAGCGTGTGCCACTGTGTCTAGCAGTACATAATTTTTAAGGAGTGGTAGGTATTTCAGATCCTGATAACTGCTACAAAAAAGAAAACAGGGTAATGGGGTAGAGAGAAACTTAGAGGACACCAAGGGAGCATTTTTATTTTTATATATGTATTTTTTATTGAGGGATGTTTTTAAAACATCCTCCTAGACATCCAGCTGGACAGATTTGAGTTTCTGAGGAGGTGACATTTGAGCTAACGTCTGAATGATGAAAAGGCCAGTCTTGTGAAAACTCATACTGCCATATTGTCCCTTATTCCTTAACTCGGCGCTCTAGTCTTATTAAATTGCTTGCCTCTAGCTCTCTGCTCCTGTAGTTCCTGTTGCCCAGAATGTCTTACTCTTCCTTCCGTTTTTCTTGGTCAATTCCTATGTGCTTTCATGTGACATGATTTTGAAACCCTTTAAGGAAGTGAGTACTGAGCTGTATTCAAGCACAGCCATGTGAAGTTGATCTCAAGCAACTTTCCATTCTAAAGAATAAACATAAATGTTTATTGAGCATCTGCCGTGTGCCTGGCACTGAACTGCAAACTCGGAATGCAAAAATAAGTAAGATATGCATTCCTCTTGTCAAGGAGTTTACTTTTTAAAAACTATAGCATGGAGTTTATCATAGAAGTTTGGTGGAGGAGGTTTTGGCGTGTTTGTAAGTGAGGCTGAGACACCAGAAAGTTTGTATGAGGAGTTACTGCTTTATCACATTCTAAAGAATAAGCAGACTGTACCAGATGAAGAGGGGTGGGAGGTGGCATGAACCAAGGACTGTAAGTATACTTCATGGCTTATGAGTGGTTCATCAGAGAGGCAGCATAGAGTTGTAGGATGAGAGGTGACTACAGAGATAAGTGGGAGCCACATCATGAGGGCCTTATGGGCAATAGCATGTTAACAGCACAGATTTTTGTTTCAGATGCCTGTATCCCAGTGCTAGCTTTGCCATTGAACTAGTTTTGTAACCTTGGATAGGTCACTTCCTTTCTAAGCTTTAGTTTCCTCTATGAAAAAGGAAAGAAGGGGATTTGAGGCGTTGCTCAATGGTAGAGCACTTGCCTAGCGTGCACAAAGCCCTGGATTAGATCTGCAGCACTGCCAGGGGGTGGGGGAGTGGGAATTATAAAAATTAAAAATTGAATGAGCTGGTATGCTATCCACCTAGTTCTAATAGAAGATGGATGTTTTAAAAATAGCAGTTAATGTTGTCAGGCTAAGAAGTTTAGATTTCATTTTTAAAATGTGGGAGTAGAGATCAGAGTACTGAAAATGTAAACAAGAGTGTAATTCTCTCATCAGTTTTAAATTACTCAGGCAGTAATGTGGTGGGTGCACTGCATATGGTAGGACCAGTAGGGGACCATCCAGGGCACATTGCAGCAGCCCAGATCGTCCACCTTCATCCACAGAAGTGAAATCAAGTCATGGCTTCTCACTTTTTCTGTATTCTGATCTTCCCACCTTTGTCCAGCATCATGAGGGCCTGATTATATAATCAAAGGAGAATAAATAGAAGTTTCTATGTCCATGGTAGACTGGGTAGCATCTGTTTCCTAGTCCAGCTCCAGAATGATCACCTTTGGGCTTTTCTCATACTTCTTCTGCATCATCCTTTGAACTCCTTTTGGTTTGTCAGTCTGTCTTCCAGCGTGTGTAAGTCCTCTTCCTCAAGGAGTCCTCCAGATAGGGCAGGAATTGCTCTTTTTTGGGAAAACCATAGGCCCGGTCGGCTACATTGTAGACACATGTTCTTGATGCTGTCATCGACCATCCAGCCCTTGACGGATGTGTGCTCAGACAGCTCTCTTGCCAATTTCCTGGTGTGTCTGTTTTTTCATTTCTCTCCTCCACCTCCAGCCTTGCTTTTTGCTTCCCTAAGTTGTAGCCCTTAGTCAAGGCTCTTTGATGTCCTTTTCTGTCCTTTCTCCAGCCTTTAATTCAAGTCAGTGAAAGCAAGGGTGCTTGTTCTGGGGCTAATTCCTCTCTGTGGGGCTAATTCCCACAGAGAGGAATTAGCCCCAGAACAAGCACCCTTGCTTGTTCTGGGGCTTGTTTCAAATGTGTACTGCCACCTCATCTCCTTTGCCTCAGGGACCTGGTTCTTGCATTTGTGAATTTTCTTTCGTGTTTACCATCTTCCCATTTAAGTATTTTTAGTTTTTATTTTACCTTGGAAAGAAACAACGTCCTCACCCATTTACACCTGCCCATTTTCCTAGCTGCATTTCTTGGAAGAGCGTTCTAGAATTGCCACCTCTGCTTCCTCAAATCATCATTTGCTGAGATCCTGCTTCTGTCTAACCGCTCCACCAAAGCTGCTCTCCCCAGAGTTACCAGAACTCCTGAGCACCTTTCTTTCTTATCATCTGAGTTCTTGGCACATCCATCATTGCTACTATTATCCTTGGTGTACCAGAACCAGTCCTACTTTTTATTGTCTCTGTTTCCCTCTCGGTTTTCATTATAGACTCTTTTTTTTTTCTCCTTTTGTTCCTGAAATGCCATTTTCCCTCTAAGCTCTGCTCACTCCTCGGTTCTTATCCACAGCTTTGATGTTCATTCATGTGCCCATGACCCCTGCTCTGTATCTTGAGCCCAGTCTCTTCTGAGTGCTCTCCTCAGACTCAGCAAGTCCAAAACCAAGCTCATCATTTTTCCTGCAGACCTGCCATTCTCTCTTCATCCTCTAATCTTGCCCACTCCCCTTCTTCCGTGTAGTCTTTCAATACAGAACCCTGGGCAACATTTTGGACTCTTCCTCTTGTACTGTTCTTCCTCCTCTCCCTTCCAGTCCAGGCAGGAGTCAGAGTTCTACCCATTCCACTTGTCCTGACACCTTTTCTCCTCCATTTCCACCCTATTGCCTTCTTGCAGGCCCTCTTCACCCTGCCTGTATTTCTGTCCTATCTCCCAGCTGGGTGCCATGTTTTAGGAGTCTGGTCCTCACTGGTGTTGCAGCATCCTTCTGAAATGCACATTTTTGCTGAAATACAGATCCATCACTTTTCTCATTTAAGTTCCATCTAGATGTAGTTTTTAGTCAGTTTTTTTTTTTAATGTGGTTTCCAGCTGCTTTGCCACACTTACCTCTCCTTCCTGCTATACAGGACTCGTTCATATTTTCTCAAACATACTGTCTGGTTTTATTCATTCTTAGCTTCTTCATCATCAAGTATTTGCTAGGCACCCAGAGGGTGCTAGGACTGAGTCAAATGCTGGGAAAACAATGAGGAAAGGGGGAAAATGAAAACCCAACATGTCTCTTTCTCATAGAGCTTTGATTATACTCGGGTAGACTGATATTGAAAATGTGTAAGATAATTGCTTACGTGCCCTGAAGGTGAGGTACAGAATGCTCTTGGAGGATCTGATATGGAATTGGCTTGTGTAGGAGGTAAGGCAGTCAGGAAAGTCCTCCCTCAGAGGCATAGTTGAGCTGAGATTTGAAGGAAGAAAAGAAACAGACTAGGTGATGGGCGTGAGGAAGAGGACAAGAACATTCCACGCCTATGCAGAGGCCGTGGGATATTTCTGGAATTGAAGATACGGAGCTGAGAGCTTCCTTTCTTCCACCTGTGGTCTTCCTCATCCACTGTCCTTGCCTGGCTGCTGCTGTACATTCCCCTCTCCCATCAAGGAGGCATTTGGAAGTTGTTTTATTTTGCTTTGTTTAGTGACAGTAACCAGAGGGCATCACTATGTTTATTGAGAGGGAACCAGCCCTGCTGGTTTGCAGTATGCAAATACAGATCCATTGCTTTTCTACTGTTTGCAGTATGCAGGCTTGAAACAGAAAAGAATCATCTCTCTGAGCATGCCAGGAGGACCCTGTTGAGAATCCACTGCTAGGCTGCAGAGCCTTGGGCTCAAGGGTTTCTGTGGGAAGCCGTCTAATGTTCTAATTTAGGTGTCCTTCCTTTCCCCTGCTCAGTATCTTGTACAGACAGCACATTGTACTTTGTGGTACTTGTTTTACTCCCAAGTTGTTCTG